GCGCACTGTTGAGCTTGTATCCGTACTTTAACCCAGTGCGCTCGACAGCTGCAATGCACACACTTTTCGATCTTTGGTCTGAGCACGTTCTTGATTTTAAGCGCCGGAGCGACTTCCTCCGTCGTTGTATAAAAATTGACAAGTCACTCACGAGGCGGTGACCGTGAGATCGCCGCGTTGATCTACTCCTGTCCTCGCGTTCGAGCTTTATTTGAGCCAAGTGTGCTGCACTATCTTACTGTAAGTCACGCCTGGGTGCCTGCCATTCCTGATAGATTTATAACCTTAACGCAGTGTGCATAGCTGAATTGTGGCAGGAATTAAAATAGGCCAACCGTTAAATAGGTAGTTTGATTATAATTACATGTTGGTCGATCAAATGAGCTAATTTCGAGTTTGCTGATGTATCACGTCGTATTTCTTAATTTTAAAGGTGGGCTTTGTACCCTTATTAGCCATTAGGATAACGGCACGTAGATTAAATGGTTCCTATGAGTCTAATGGAACCGTTAGATTTTAAGATGCTAAAAGACAAATATTTACACAGACTTCCAAAATATTCTTGACGTCTAAGAATTGGGCCTTGAGGCTTCCTCAAAGAGTAGATAACATAAGCTACGTACAATTTTTTGCCATGTTACACCTGTTAGCACTTTGTAGTCCTTCCCATGCCCGAGTTTAAAATGATCGATTCGTCGTACTTTGATGCTCCATCTGTGATTCTGGAGAACGCGACTTTCTCATCTTACTGGTACTAAGTAGGATGCCATTAATTGTAACGGGGCACCCTGAAGCTTGTACAGGTAACAGTACAAGCTACTTATTCTGATGACAGAATAAGGCGGTGCCTCGTAACTTCACGTACACTCGTACGTGCAGAGGAAGACGGTAAGAAGAAGCGAGTACTTGGTTAAAGTAAAAAGTAGAACCGTATTTATAATAGTCATTGTCTGCAATAAATCACTATTTATCTTCATCTAACTATGTCTAAATACAAATGTGTAAATCAGTTACCTGCTCACCACTCATTGCGTGCGTCTGTCGTGGCGCGTCTTCGTTGGTTGATATAATGGCCAATATCAACCAATTAGGAACTACTCGTAAGTGCTACAGAATATTTGTCCTTATGACAATATTCTGAGAATATAACTCTTATAGTTATATTCTATTAACAATTCCTTTTAAATTGTTATGTAACGATTCACCCCGTTACATCACCCCCCCTAACCATCAGTCACTTTAGTGACTGATTGACTAAATGGATACTCGTCCCAAATCAATTGGATAAGGGTTTGCACTTGTTGGTCCGAGTCCACTTTCGAACATCTCATCGCATGGTTAACAAGCCCATGCGATGCGCGAGCAAGGCCGCCGAGAGCGCGTCCGCACGTCTCTGTGCGGACGCCGAAGCAGAAACTACAGCAACTGATGTCTCATAGGTTGCTGAAGCGACTCGGCCTGTGTCACTTGGTGATGCAGGCGCTGGTCATGAAGACACTCATGTCTTCACAGAGTACGAGCTCGGTGTCTCGTACTCTCCTGATATGGAAGGCGGATCCGTATCAACGGCGATTGAATCTAAGCCGCCTGCTAAGCGTGGCATGGACGATGCTTTGCGTCGTAGCATCTTTGGTTCATCTGATGAATCAGATGAACCATCGCCGAAGCGAAGGCGCTCGAGGTCGCGAGACTCGGGCGCTAACAGTGGTGTCGGTTCTCCTATGGACACCACTTCGCAACGAGGTGCCAGTCCTTCTGTCGGCACGTCGCAGGAAGAGCGGGACCGCAAAGTGCTGCGTCTCGCTCCTGAGAAGAAGGCATGGATGCCTCCAAAATCTGTCATGGATCACTTGTCGGCGACGACGAGTGATCGTTATCGAACACGATTGTTCGATTCGTCAAGGATTCATCACCTTGACCCCAGCGCGAAAAACTATCGCGCTGAGAATGAATTCTTCATCGATGCTTTCTTTAGACATCGATGGTACAGTGAGAATCACAAGCGTGATGGTCCCCCACTGCTTCAGGCGTGGAACGCCTACATCCATAAACTTGAGGATGTAGGTCGTGACGCTTGGAACGACAAACTTATCAAAGCTCGTGATAAGTTTGAAAAGCGAACCCCGACAGGTGCACGCTACAAGCTGCATCGTCTGTCAAGGGAGAAGGGATTACCCTGCCTCTCTTGGGGAGACTCGTGCCCATGTTGTGTGGACAACTCTGCACGAGCACCTAAGGAGTCTTACCTCCTTACCAGCCCGTGGTGGCGCGTACGTGTCTCTACTGAGATGCACGAAGGGATTGACAACCTGAAATCCCTTTACGACCGTGCCGGGAAGACTTTATACGGCGGTCCTTCTGCGGCACAGGATGCGCCGCGTCGTACTGCTCAACCAGACCCAGCACGTCGATCATCAGTTGGGAGCGGGGCTCCCAAGAATCCCAGGACGGGGGATAGCCGCGCCACCGGACGAGATGACTCGTCCGACGTCCGTTCACGTCGCGGTGGTTCAACAGCTGCTCAACTAGATAGCGCTGTCCAACGCGAGAGTCCTCAAATGGAGGTGGAGGAGGAGGAAAGACGCTCTCCACACGATCATGTGGATCGGTGTGTTCCCGAGAGCTTCTTTGATCGCGTAACGCAAGGGTTACGCGACGATCTCGAACATGAGCGGAATAGGCGTCTTCAAATGGCGGACACTGCCTCGAAGCATCGAGCTGAGTTTGCCTTTGCTCAGCTTGAGAACGAGAGATCTCTGACATCTCTTCGTGACGAGCTAAGGGTAGATCGTGGGATTGTTGATCGGTCTCGGGATGAGATAGCTGCTCTTCAGACCCTTGTTGATGCCCGCCATCGGGAGCACAACGCTCTCTGCGAGATGCTTGAGCGTAAGGGCGTTCTTCATCGGAAGAAGCAGCGTACTGATGGTACGGCTTAAGCTGACCAACGTAAAACGTGGGATGCGTTCGCATCTTACGTGGTAACTCGATCGTGTATGCATTGCCTAGGCGGTGCAATACACGAAATGGGCCAATGTACTTGGGTAGTAGTTTACTGCTACCCAAGTTAGTCACTACATGCTTTGGTAGATTAACCGTAGACAGTAGGACTAAGTCACCTTCATTGAATAAAAGAGTGTTTGCCCTTCCATTCTTGTCAGCGTTTTGCTTTTGCTTATCCACCGCTTCGGCGATGGAGTCTTGCACAAAACGGACTACCGTTTCACGAGCCAGTATGAACTCATCTGATGACTCGTTAGCTTCAGTGTGCTGTGAGCGCACTGCAGCAACATCAACCTTTTCTTCAGTGAGGGCTTCCGCACTCTCACTGGGATCATCTTCTTCAGTGAGGGCTTCCGCACTCTCACTGGCATCGTATTCTTCGATATCGATGTTATCGATATCGGCATCAAACGCAATGACCTCTTCGTCAGAGCGTGATGAGCGTGAACAAATTCGGTTTTTGCTCGCGCGAGTCCCTCCCCCCCTCAAACCAGAGTTACACTCTGGTAAGGTGGGTATACGCGGATGGCGTAAGCCATTCACGTTAAAAGGTGGATGTGTCGTGGACGCATGCACAGAGTTGCTAATGGCAAACTCTACCATTGGCAAAAACTCACTCCAACTCTTAAAGGAGTGTACGTATCCTCGAAGTATCTCTTCGAGGACACGATTGGCACGTTCCGTCTGACCATCTGACTCTGGATGATCAGATGTCGACATCTTCAAGCGCGTTCCGAGTGATTTGAACACGGAACGCCAGAAATCAGCAGTGAATCGTGGATCTCTGTCTGATACGAGTTCACGGGGCAACCCATGAAGTCGGAAGATGGTGTCAATAAAGACACAAGCACAGCCACTTGCCGTGATTGTCTCTGGTACAGCCACAAGGTGTACCATTTTGCTGAATCTGTCAACAAATACGAGAATACCCGTATTCCCGCGTGCGTCTTTGGGTAACCCGAAGACGAAATCCATTGAGATGGATTCCCAGCACTCAGCCGGAACCGGTAGAGGCTGTAAAGGTCCACGCAGTGAAGGACTTGACTTCACTCGTTGGCAGACTTCGCATGCGCGAACATACTTTCGCACAAACTGATACTGGCGGGGCCAGTAAAAGTCTCGACTTACCGTGAGATACGTTTTCTCCCGGCCACGATGTCCTCCTATAGGATCCTCGCGATACTCGAACATGATCCGCAAACGCAGATCAGTATCATCTGGAATGACAACACGTGGTGTGTCACCAGAAACGGCTGTATAATACAGTAAACCGTTGCGAGTAGTGTATCGATCTGATGCAGATCAATGCGCAGACGACAATCGTTTCAACGATTCTCGAGATGGCTGTGAGAGATGTGTCAACAACTTCACAATCTCACCATCTTGGGCGTATGCCCGCCTCACATCATCATACAACGCTGTAGATGGGACTAAGGACGTCATAACCGCAACAGCGACTGTCTCACTGTTGGGTTTCGCGACTGTTTCAAAGTCGGGACGACGTGAGAGTGCATCAGCGACGACATTAATTCGTCCCGGTTTGTAATCGACCGTAAAGTTGTATTCCGCAAAGAATGACAACCACCGCGCCATTCGTTGTGAAAGGTGCGGGCTGTTCACTGCCGTGCGTAATGACGCATGGTCAGTGTAAACAACGAAGGGTCTATCTCCTAATAGATAGACTCTGAACTTCGCGAGTGCATACTTCATGGCAAGGAGTTCCTTGTCATGCACTGGATAGTTCCGCTCAGCTGGTTGCAGCTGACGCGACTGATAGCAGACGACGCGTTCAACGCCTTCAAGATCGTACTGCATTAATGCACAGCCGATTGCGAAATCGCTGGCATCACAGACCACATGAAATGGCCTGTCCTGATCGGCTATTGCTAGGACTGGGAATTGTATCAAGCTCTGCTTGATACCCTCAAAGGAGCGTTGACATTCAGCGTTCCATAACCACCTCTCGCTCTTTTTCAACAAACGAGAGAGGTGCACAGTCATCTCGCGTAATTGCGTGAATACTTATGCAAATACGCCGCTAGCCCAAGGAATTTTCGAAGACCTTTGACATCAACCGGCACAGGCCAGTCGGTTATCGCCTTGATCTTTTCGGGATCAGGACGTACACCGTTCTTGCCAACGATGCACCCAAGAAGTGGTATTTCGCTTGCTGCAAAAATGCACTTCTTGAGGTTTGCATACAATTGATGCTTTCGCATGATTGTAAGCACCTGTCGGACGTGGTACCTGTGAACCTCAACGTCCGACTTTCCATCCATAACTCGGCTATGGATGAAAACCTCATCGAAATAACTCGGCGCAAATTCTCGAACTGGTCTCAACAGATGTGATACACATCTGTTGAACGTGGCAGGGGCATTACTAAGCCCTTGTGGCATTACTAGCCATTCCCAGAGCATGCCGCTAGGCGTGCTCACTGCGGTATAGGGTATATCCCGTTCCCGCATAAGCATTTGATAGAAGCCATCCATCAAATCCATGGACGAAAAGATGGTACTCTTTGACACACCATCAATGATTACGTCCTTCCTCGGTATCGGCGTCTGAGCCGGTACCGTTGCAGCATTCAACTTGTTAAATGCATGCACTATCCGCCACTCTCCTATTGCTTTTCGCACACAGAAGGTCGGAGAGCTATGTGGGGAAGTTGATTCCCTCACACGGCCCGCAGCTAAACGATCGGCAAAGAACTTGTCGATCGCAAGTACTTGTTCACGAGGCAGTGGCCACTGCTTCATGACACAGTACTTCGAGCCTGGTTTAAGCTCGACCTCGTGTCGAATACCTTTATCCTTCGGTAACTCGCACGGAACAGTTTCAGGGAATGCATCCTTGAATTCAACCAAATCTTCATAGAGAGGATTTTTCTTGAGCGATTCCCACGATTGGGAGTCATATCGCTCAATTTGTGTCTTTTCATCTAGGATACTCTCGTCCATAGATGAACTACTGAGAACTCTCTCGTTCTCAGTGAACAATGTTGCTGACCTTATGTCGGTTACACACTCATCGTCAGCGACGAGTATGCAGATCTGCTTGACTTTGCCACTACGCAGATCACGCAAGAACCTTTTATGTTCGAGCGTTGGCAACTGAGTGATATCCGAAGTCAACTTCGGAGGTGCAATCAGATCAAGTGTATAAGCGCCTACACTTGATCCGTTATTGACTATGACATTCAATGTGTCTGTCATTTCCTGGGGACTTATTCCCTCAGGCCTCGAAGGACTTATTCCTTCGGCTTCCCGGGGACTTATTCCCGCGGGTTTCGGGGAACTTATTTCCGCCGTATTTGTAATCTTGGGACTTATTCCCTTAACTTCCTCTAGCTGGGGTTGCGTAACCACAGCGAGATCCTCTACGAAAGACTCTCCAGTCGATCTAGTATTATCGTTTCGCTTAACCTGAGCGATCGATTGTTTCTCTTCTAGATGTTCCCCGCTAGGGATACATCTTTGTCCCAGTCCACCCGACTTATTCGAGTGGTGGACCTTCGGCGCAGCCTGTGTTTCCTCACAGCCGCCGGAACTTTGCTATGAAGTGTAACCGTTTGGTACACTAAGGTTTTGTGCAGTCGTACTAACGACCGTACCACAAGTGAGGCCATCGCACTCACTCGTAGTACATCCACACGCTTGTGGACGCTCCAAAACGTTCATCAGATGGCCATCTGATGAACAAGCGGCATGCATCGTTACTGTTCGATGTTGCCAGTTAACTTGTGGTTCGTACCTTCTGAGCCACGGTAGTCCAAGGATGACATCAAATTTGTCATCCAAATCCAATACGATAAAGTCATCGTCATATTGGGTATCTTCTAGCGTATAGTGGATCTTCACTATACGCTTCATGACGGTTACGGATGCGCCTGTCGCAAGACGTACCGTCATCCTCGTAGGAGGTGTGTCACATTCACTGAATTTAAAGTGACCATCTTCTAGCGATTGGCGTCGCACAAAATTGTTGGACGCCCCACAATCGACTAGAGCTCGAAGGGACAACTGATTCGTCACTTCGAGTTTCAAGGTAATGAGTGAGATCTCATTACCTAGAGCAGCAACGCACAACGTTTGTGTGTTGGGAGCAACCTTCATCAAGAGGCCTACAAATTCTCTTGACGTTGCTGGAAAAGAAGGGTGCTCCGCACCTACTGATCCTGTCCGTTTTTTGACGGTCCATCCCGTTGTTGCGTCTTTGCACCAACAGCAGACCCGCTTCCCTGCCCCTTTCTCATGGGTGGACGGTCACTACGCCCAGTGTTGCGAGAAACTGGACGAGGGGCACTACACTCGTAAGCGTAGTGTCCTGTCTTTTGACATCTGTTGCATCTCTGCAACTTCTTGTAGCCTGTAGAGCGAGCCTTCTCGCTCTCTACATAACAGAGTTCCATCGGTTCTGGACCTCCGCTGTCATATCGTCTCGGTTGACGATATGATGTCGAGCTGGTGCGAGCCTGTCTCAGACTGAAGTCTTCCTGCTCCGCAATGGAAATGGCTTGTTCTAGTGAATCTAGTTCAGTCGTAACAGGTGAGTCTTGACGGGACCATCCGCAAGACCCTGCATGAACACCGAAACCAACGTGTGTTCATCCACCGGATTGGAACTTATACAACTCGTGAGATGTCGTATATGTTGCGCGTAAGCGTGCACATCACGCTCACCCTGCTTGAGCTTCAAGAGATCGGTTCGAGCTCTGAACTCAGCTCTAGGCGGTTCAAACGTTTGTCTGAGCCGCGACTTGAAGACTTCCAACGACCCAAACGCATATGGGTCGTGCAACTTGAGCCCCAGTGCCCAAGTCTTGGCACGTCCTGCCAGATTTGACTGGGCAAATGCAACTTGCATATCCCCGTCGTCGATGCGACGCGCCCTTATGGCGTCATCCAATTCGACGAACCATCTCAAGAGGGAGTCCTCTTCGACTCCTCTATACTTGGAGATGTCAATCTTCAAGGTCTCGGGTCGACGCGAGTGCATCGACCCGCCAGCATCAGCCTGCTGCTATATCAACAGTTCAAACTGTTGAGCACCCTGTTCTCTCAACAACTCTGCTTGTTGAGAACCTTGTTGGTGAAGCAAGGCTACTTTCTCGCGTTCTGCGTCAAGTTCATTTTGAATGAACTTGGCGATAGTAGCATGTTGGGCATCTCTATTGAGAGCCTCTAGCATGACGCTAACAGCATGGATGCCCATGGTTGAACCCTTTCGTTCAACCGCATCCCATTCGACATCGCTCAAATGGGAGTAGCCGTCACTCGTAGCGTGAAAGCTTTGGTCATCTTCATCATCCAACATATTCATGTTGGATGTGAACGCGGTCCTTGGACGGACTACGAAGTGCTACCGGGTGTAACGGGGCACCCTGAAGCTTGTACTGGTAACAGTACAAGCTACTTATTCTGATGACAGAATAAGGCGGTGCCTCGTAACTTCACGTACACTCGTACGTGCAGAGGAAGACGGTAAGAAGAAGCGAGTACTTGGTTAAAGTAAAAAGTAGAACCGTATTTATAATGGTTAATGTCTGCAATAAATCACTATTTATCTTCATCTAACTATGTCTAAATACAAATGTGTAAATCAGTTATCTGCTCACCACTCATTGCATGCGTCTGTCGTGGCGCGTCTTCGTTGGTTGATATAATGGCCAATATCAACCAATCAGGAACTACTCGTAAGTGCTACAGAATATTTGTCCTTATGACAAAATTCTGAGAATATAACTCTTATAGTTATATTCTATTAACAATTTCTTATAAATTGTTATGTAACGATTCACCCCGTTACAATATTCCTGTTGACCATTTGCTTGAAGTCGGTAGCTCAGTGTATCCGTTGATTTATAATCAATCAACTCTGCAAATAATTGGAAAATTTCCCTCAAGTTTTGATCCCTTTCATGACGAATGAGAACAGGCGCTTAAAGAAGACCAAAATTATTCACTTTGACTGCCATCGCAATCTCTAGTGCACCTGTGGCACTAATAGCTTTGACTATTATGAACCCTGTGAAGTGATCTTAAAACAGCAACAATGCCATGTTGCGCTCGTTAAATTATTTAACCAAACATTTTACAACACGAGCTGACGACAGCCATGCAACGCCCTTGTTCCCACGTCGAGTCATAGATAACGGATACAAAATTCAATTGATACCGATTTGAATGGCCGGTCAGACACCACGTTATTCTGGCGAGCATCCCTTCAATAGGGCTTCGCTTTTTCTGGTGCTGCAGTCTTCGCAACTTTTTACGTGTTTCGCCACATCGGCATAAAGCCCCTTTTAGTTGTAGTGTATTTTATGCGATGGTGGGTTCGCAAAATGCCTTGATGTCCGCCTTACACTGAGTCGTGAAAATTCAGCATTTTTCTAGCCAACCAAGGTAGTCGGCACCACTTTTCGTAGCTATATTTCTTCCTCGGGTGACATTATAAACTCATGACGTCGTCCCTGGTAGTAGAGTACTTCTTCCTCGCACAGTACGAAACAGTCTGCAATTTTAACTGAGTCGCCGACCTTCACATTGTCGTAAGCTTGCTGAGTTGTTCTCTAGAAATATCTTGAGTGCCGCTCAGTTCTCTTCCTCCTCTTGGGCCATTGAGACTGTGCCTCTTTGCTTAGCTTTTACTACCAGTGAATTGACGTCTTCTATGCTTGACGGTCATCGACGTTTCAGTGCTTTCAGCGGTTTCTCAGTGATTTGCCGAGTCTTGGATCGTCGAGTCAATGTATCGAATTCGACGCTTCTGCCTGCCGTTCTTGGAAAACTATGGTGATAATTTGCTTCAAAGCCGCCAATCTCCCAAGGTACCTAGCACTTGACTCCGTGTTAAAGATGAAGGGTCCTGAATAGAACTCGTCGAGTCGCACTCCATGTTGTAGTTGACTAGGGCCAGCGTTTGCACTCCATCCATTCACTGACGTCAAATCGATGAGTAGCTTCTCCTGTGTGCCGTTCAACCCTTTCAGTTCCTTTAGTCGTGCTTGATCTGTAAATACCTGCCTCACCTTTATTTCTAGTATTTCTGTAGCCAGTGTACCGGTCGCAGCGTTCTAACAGCGCATTACGTGCAAATGACAGGAAGAGCTAAATTGCTCAACCATATTTTTTGTGATTCGCTAGTTGCACCTGAAACGAATCCTTTTTGTATGCGGTCATCGCCGTGGTTTGCTGGATCGTCAGACTTTTGTCACCGACAATGATCAGGTCTGTCACGTTGTGATCTAGTGCTGCTTGGGTGCCTCATTTCACTACGGCGCACTCTGCCATATTGAATGTAGTCGTCGACAGGTAAGCGCTCTCATCGATTCGTAATGGTCCATTCAGGTAATTTTACCTAGGCATGTACAGCTTGCGCTCGTCGCAGCTTTTCGCTACAGTGCATACATGCACGCATTAAGCATAAAGTAGTCGATGCATGGTACAGCCATTTTTTACCCTGAAATTGCTTCAGTCGTTCCCGGATGCTCACCTCTTGGACGTGACTAAAGTTTGCTGCTCGTCTATACAAGCAGGTCACTACTGCTGCTGTAGGAAGGAATTTGAAAAGTATCGGTGAATAAATTTAGTGTGCATAAAATGGTGGCGAAGAGTGGTGCTGCAGCTAGTTCCAGCACATCCATACTATGTTGGTCTACCACCTTTGTGACGGGATTATCCCGCTACAAGCGCTGGCTGGTCGGAAGTTGGACGGATGCAAGCGCTGACCTTTTTGATGAATGTGCGATCGACCGTAGCCACGTTGTTGGTGGTAGTGCCATGATATCGAATACAGCTCCAGATCACGGTCATCTTGCATCCTATGCCGAGTCGCAGAGTGTGGCAAAACCGATTAGAATCCAGACATGTGTAAAATACTAAACACGTGGTGACACGACAGCTTTTTACATTGCATGAAACTATAGCACATATTCGACATTGCGTCCTCCTGTTCGTTATACGGTCGGCCTACCCGCGATATCGCATGTCGGCAAGCATCATTGATGTGAAAAAGATATTCACATAATCAAAATGGGACTTATTTCACGAACTTTAACATCAAATTTAAAAGCAATCTTATCGTTTAAAAATAGTGCATGCAGATGCGTAGTCTGCGCGCCTTCTCTCCTCGATTCGTTGCTGTTATGTTGCCATTCTCAATGGAAACCACCTGAATGAACTCACCACGGAAAGCTCCAACGCACTTCCTGCACTTTATCATCTTAGCAACAAAAGACAAAAGGAATCTTTCACACTATGCAATTGCTTTGGCACTTCTTCAGCACGATCACAAGGTCGCTCCAGTATCGACGTTCATCCACGCGTTTGCTTCGTAGTCTGTTGTGCGCTTAGGTATTCAAGAGCGCTTATTTACACAGTAAATTTAACGTTATCTATGCGTGCTTTAAAAATTTAATACACCAAGTGGATGTACATTACCATGCCCCATACGCTCTAAACTCTCCACGACGAAAATTGTAAACCAATACATACTCTTTCGCTTGAGACTAAATTTACGTTTGAGTTCGTCACAACCTCGTTTTTTGATCGAATGATAGCCCGAGACCAATCCTGTGCGTCCCCTTGCCCCTTTAAAATTGTCTCAACACTCAAGAAAGCAGAAATCGTCACTGCACGTTTGTTTGAGGTCCTACCTTGGTTTTGTGACTAATTTAACCTGACACCATGCACCCCAACATTCAAATCCTTCTCCTTCGGGTGTTATTCGGTAGTTTAAATAGGCTGCAGTGTATTTGATCACATAGAACATTCACCCACAACTACGCAGCGCCTTGAGAACAAATTACAAGCATAACTAGGTCTTCTTCAATGCTATGCACTACATAATAAGTAGTTGTGTAATGATGCATCACGTGTTGGCGAACGAAGTCAACTGTGAAGTTTTGAGTTACCCCTGAAAACTTTTAAAATTACCCAATTAAATAAATAATTGAACCCAGCCGTTTAACGTTTGCGTCAAACATTCACTTTGCTACAGTTTATGCATGACGACACCATGATCCGATAGGTTCTACAATCTATTACCTTATTGAAAAGTGCGTCCACTGAGACTAAAATTTAGCAGAAGAGGGACTGTAACTCGTTTAATACTTCTGTGCAATCTGAATAAAAAAGAGCCACAAACACCATTCGTAGGTTATCACAAATGACGCTGCAGGCTTGTGTGTCACAATATTAGATACTCTTGCTGTACTATTTTTTCCATTCGACTACAAATAGTTGCCGTTGTGCTAAAGGTGACCAATCAATCAGATCATTTTACTGACCTCTGGGACGTGGACGAAGAATTATCCGATTTGTCCGATCAATTAGTCACACCTTGTGTTCTGATTCACGAATGTGCAGCTGTGTGTCGATAGTGAGTTTTGCGGTATGCACACTATAAATGGACCAGGGCGACCCATTCGGTGGCCCTGGTCCGGCTGGTCCGGTCGCGCGTCGCAGTATGACCTGGACCAATGGCCCCGGGTCGCATAAACTTTATATATCACACCTGTACCACACCACAATACAATTTTTCGACAAATGTCGTGCCACCAGGCCTGTGTGCGACAACTATCTCACAGCAATCGCGATCTATCGAGCAGGTGGTAAGTGATCTACCGAGCAAACTTCTGTTAGCACGCAACCTATGACTGAAGCTCTTTCCACAAAAAACGACCCGACACCAATGAATGAAGCACTCGTTACTACATGTCTCATATATCTGCGTTATTACATGTAAATGACAACAGCCAGGTATCAGTTGAGAAAGGTACATGTATGAATGAAACAAAGGTTCGCGTTTCACCATACGTATCGGGTGCATCCATCGAAGCAAAATTACAAAATAGAACAAGATTATCTGGTGTACGGCTGTATGTAATATCTTGATCAAGCCTACCTGGATCTGCTTCAGAAACAGGCCATTGCCTTCCATGGGTAGGCACTGACCTGGTCTTGAAGCAATGTTTGTACGATAGATGCAGATAATTGTGCGACAGTGGTCGTACAGAGGTACGGTGGCACGATGTTTGTCGTGCGAATCATGTTGTGGTGTATGAGGTGTGGTTTATGGATTGTGTGTCCAGTAAAAGAGGGGTGAGTATCTAACAAGGCCTATTTGTCTAAGTAAATGTCTATCTCTGCGAACAATGAGCCAATTGTGTGGCCAGCTCTCAATAAGTTTTGCGCATACATTTGTAGACCAGAATTCATGTCCTCTTTTTGTCGCACTGACGTACAATATGACCCGATACAAGCGACTTGATCGCAAGCGAGCGAACATGTGTCAAAGCTGTTTACATGTACATCAATGTAATATGCTTGCAATACGGCCCGACGGAGTTCATCTTTTCAGTTTATAAATTAGCGGTGGAAGCTCTGGGACTCGCCCTTGACGTAGGAAATGTAGTTCGGAGCACTGTATCAAGTTGCAAAATAACATACAGTAGTCACTGAAGAATGAGTATGATGCTGTAAATGTTTGTATTCGCGCAGTATAGTATACTTGGGCAACGCGATCGGCCTTTCGTAATGAGTGCCGAGCATTTGCTGATGTGATCACATTCACCTTTGAGCGCTTTTAGGCCATTCAGGTACGTCTACCGCAATAGTGACCTAGCCTCAGAGCGACACCTATCATGCTAATCGACCTGTGAGGGGGGACAGGCTAGATCGCACTTAGGACAAGCAACGTACACTCAACCGCGTGATTTACAGACGCAGACACACAGATAAGTACGATTTAAAACGTCGGCATTCAACCTTGCGCACAGTCACTAATAGCGCCACGCTTGGCGCTCGCAGTAATTCAGCACTCCGCCCCTGGCGTGCTTCCATCCATCCTTCTACTGCCTGATCGATACCAATAACTAAATCACACGCAGACGGTCCGAACCCAGCTCTGACTGCTTGCATGTTGCCACCTACCAATAAAACCCAAGACCAAAAACAAAACCGACCACCTCCATCCCAGCAGCCATCCCAGCAGCCAGCCACCCACCCAACTGACTGACTGGGCACTACGTACGTACGTCCTTCACCTTTTTTGATCCCGTCGATCCTCCCCCTCATTCGACGATCTGCCGGCTACAAAGCAGCCGCCACCACCACCTCCGCCGCCCCGTCTCCTCGTCTCCCCCGCTCGCACTCGAACATGGCGTCCACGATCGCGTCGTTCGCCAACTTCCTCAAGCAGTCGCGCACGCACGCGATCGACAACCGCGAGGTTCTGATCGCCGGCGTCTTGTACAAGAAGCCCGAGCGCAACTCGCTCCTGTGGAAGAAACGCTACTGCGTCATCTACGCCAACGAGCTCCAGATCGTCTACTTCCTCTCGCTCGAGGACTTTGAGCGGCGCGCGATCCGAGGCAAAATCCCCTTCAGCTCCGTGCACGCGTGGGACGGGAAGCCCAATGGCTTCCAGTTCTACACGCCTGCCGACCACTGCTTCCGCGTGTACACGGAGACGGCGGCGGACCAGCTCAAGTGGCTGGAAGTCATGCAAAAGTGCATTGACAATGCACCGGACCGAAAGGACGGCGCCCGTGTCGAGTACGTGCGTCCAGTGGCCTCGTCGCCCGCGGCGTCGCCGAAAGGCGCGAGTAATTTCCGAGCCAAACGGAGCGATTCGTGGCGAGAAGAAGACCCGGACGTGCTCTCGATGGCCGTCGAGCTCGAGGATCTTCGCAGTGAAGTGACGACGCTCAAGGCCGAGCTCGCGTCCTATGAACAGGCCGAGAAACGGTACGGAGAAAACGCTCTTGTTGCTGACCGGACGCGGCGGGGCACGGTGCTGGACGACGGCACGGAGCTGAATATCGAGCCTAGGGAGATGGAGCGCATGCGGGCGATCTTCAATCTGTTTGACGTGCAGGGCAATGGCTTCATTAGTGAAGACGATCTGCTCGACCTGCACGCGAAGCTGGGCGAACCCATTTCCAATCAAGACGCCCGGGAAGCCATTTCGTACATGCACAGCAAGTCGACGACGGGTGAGATCGACTTTAACTCGTTCATGAAGTGGTGGAACGACGACCACGCAGCGGACAATCAGACGGAAGCCATGCGGCGCTATCAAGCCAAGTTTAAGTTCCTCAAGGCGCGGATTGCAAACCCCGAGGTCGGCAACATTGAGACGGAGGCCGTCGGTGCGTTCCCAAGCTTTGAGTTCCGTGTCAACTTTTACCACACAGGCATCAACAATGAACGCCAGCAGATCTCGCCGTGGCACGACATCCCACTGTACAATCCGGATGGCACAGTCAACTTTATCTGCGAGATCCCCAAGTGGACCCGCAAGAAAATGGAGATTGCGACGGGTGAGCCGTTCAATCCGATCAAGCAAGACACGAAGAATGGCAAGCTGCGTGAGTACGGCTGGGGTGAAATGATGTTCAACTACGGCGCGATGCCGCAGACGTGGGAAGACCCGTCGCACGTGACAGAAGGCACGGGCTGTGTGGGTGACAACGACCCGATCGATGTGGTGGAGATCGGAACCAAGCAGTGGCGCACGGGCTCCATCGTGCAAGTCAAGATTCTGGGTGTGCTCGCTCTCATCGACGACAACGAGACGGACTGGAAGGTGATTTGCATCAACGTGGAGGACCACTACGCCCCACTCATTAACGACGTAGCGGATATTGAAGCTCACATGCCCGGCTGCATCACAGCTATCCACGACTGGCTCCGCGACTACAAGCTGCCCCAGGTGAACAAGTACGGCTACGAAGACAAGTGCATGGGCCGCGACTTTGCCGAAGCTACTGTTGCAGAGACCCACGAGTTCTGGAAGCTGCTTATCGAGCAGCGTGGCGGCCAGGCCACTGTGTAAGCTGGAAGAGCTGGCGAGCTTTGCTTGCCACTTTGAACTGGAGATAAGTAGATACTGGGGTCCACGGGGAACACTGACTAAGAAATGATAAACCTCCGTTCTGTTCAAATTAGTTGCTGAGCTTTCTGGGTGGTTTCTAGCTTTACATTCGCGTTGCTTTACTACTACTTGAGGTGATGCCCATTCGCACTAGGCGAGTCAACTCAGCTTGCGTCTTGCCAAGCCCGACTTAATCACGTTACTTCGTCACTTCCAAGCTGGGATGAAGCTGGACAGGATGCGACACGGTTCAGAAGTCAGTAGAGCTATCATCACCATGTCACCAATGGACTTTTAGTACCTTGATGGACCTGTCCACTTTGAGTTGTAGTGGTGCTGTAAATGGCGAGCACAATGTTGTGAGTGTCATTCGCGGGAAGTGTGGCTTGACTGACCTGACTACCGTTGATGTGGGTTGGCTTCAGACTCGTCCTCAGTCGATGGATTTGTGGTGAAGAATCGCATGACTAGCACTCGCTGTCTGAGCTCAGGACGGTGCCATTCAAGAATCTGCTGGACGAAGTGATGTATAGCGAGAGCAAAATACTTTACAAGTCGATGGAAACCTGTCTTTCAGCTGCACACAAGCTCGTCGACGACAAGTTGGTACTTCTCTCAGAGCTACCCGCAGTCCAGCTTCCCCTACCATCTCATGACGACTACAAGTACAGCTTTCCATCTTTGCAGAGAATCCGATCGCCGTCGCCTACCTCGATCGAAAGCGATGCCTCGGTAACTAGCAGCTTCACAAACACTTCAAGCACCGCATCCGTTCACACTGTGCCATCAGCACCTCGTAATGTTGCTACGACGCTTACAAAGTCCAAGGTTTTAGAAGCGAAGCGAGTGTCTTCGACGTCCAAGGCATTTGAGCCAGGATACACACAGACCAACCTTTCGAATCAGGACAAGCTGGTGCGTGGTGGAAAAACAAAGCTCGACCATCTTCAGTACAACTACACTGAACGCAGGTTCAAGAGTCCTGCCGGAAACGTGATAAACCTTCAACACGAGCAGTACGCGCTCACATACGGGATGATGTGCGGCATTCGAGACTCAGCTGGTCTCCAGAAACCGTTCAAGCAGCGATTGACGGTGAATGACTTCATGCGCGTCGACAAGAAGGTTTTTCGTGCTAACGCTCGTCTTCAGCATGGGTTCAAGTTCAAAGACTACTCCCCAGACGTATTTCGCCAAGTACGTCGCCGTTTCGGAATCGACTCAGCAGACTACATGCTCACCCTGAGTGGAGACTTTAATTTCATCGAGTTCATGTCGAACTCCAAGTCGGGTCAGTTTTTCTTCCACTCGCACGATGGGCGCTTCATGATCAAGACGCAGACCAAGGACGATTCCAAGTCCCTCCGACGTCTCCTTCCCCATTATTACAAATTCGTGATGGAGAACCCCAACACACTCATCACGCGGTTCTATGGCATGCATCGCGTCCAGATGCACCACCTGCGGAGGAAAATGCACTTTGTTATCATGGCCAGCGTTTTCAACACGTCACTAGAGATCCACGCTCGCTTCGACCTCAAAGGCTCGCGTATTGGACGGTGCGCCTCAGCAAAGGAGTATGAACATGGGAGTACATGTGTCTTGAAAGACAACGATCTGCTCGACAAGGGCTTTCGCCTTCGTATGAGCACCGCCCAGCGCGCTATTTTCATCGCCCAACTACGCAAAGACGTCGGCTTCCTGAAACGCATGAAAATAATGGACTATAGTATCCTCGTTGGCGTACACGACTCGAGTTATGAAGGACGGAACGATCTGTATACTAGCACCCGAGCGAGCGACAGCTTCGAGAGTGTCACGTCACAACAAGAAGGTAGTAGCGGGTCGTTGTCCGCTTCATCTGCTGCCTTCGAGCTCAATTGTGTGCAGATGCGGTCGTGTCGCTCAAATTCCATGCCAGAACGAGATGCCGTCAAGCTGCAGCTACCATTGACTCTCGCTACGATTGCAGACTTTCGAGCCCTACGCGCACTATCACTGCCGGACACTATGACGTGGCACGACAGCTACACCGATTTTGACTTGGAAGATTCGGACAGCGAACTGGAATGGAATGGTTTCGCAAGTAGCGAGGACGGATTCAGTCACAGCTTCAGTGTTGCGTTTAACGAATGCTCGATTTCAGGCAACCGATACTCTACCGAATCGTTGCCGTCCACTCCGGGAGAGGCAGCCATTATACCTCTTCTGCAGTCTCGACCTTTGGACACAACGCTAGGCGTCAAGATTGCGAATTCATTTTTTTGCAAAGACGAAGGAGGTATTTGTGGCCGGGACCAAGATGGGCACAAGAATGGGTGTGTCTACTTTCTAGGTATCATCGACATCCTGCAGCAATACAACACCCGGAAGATTGCCGAGACACTTTTCAAAGGCTTGCGGCACAACCGCAAGCACATCTCAGCGGTCGGACCGGATTTCTATGGAGATAGATTCATCGAGTACATAGAGAAGCACGTAGTTTGAGTAGATGTGCTGATTTCACGTTGACTGCCGCGATCAAGCGCCCTGGACGGGTGACGATAAATGCGTAAACGTACATCGATAGTCAAAGGGGAAAGGCAATACGAGCAATCGCATGTCGCCTGCCTCACTTTAATAAGTTTGAATTTTAAGGAGATAAGAAAGGGAATTAAGATAGAAGAGCGCGCTCAGGAGCTCGCTCTTTGACACAAGTGAACCAGTTCGAAGACTTGAATCAAGGTGCCGAAAACTATGCAACAGCATTCACGGGAGATTGAGTTCGATTATGTTTATGTTTGCACTTGAGCAATGCAGCATGCTCGGGCATCGCAACCAGCCTTTGCTTATGAGCGTCCAGCATTTGCTTATGTGATCATGTTCACCTTTGATCGATTCCAAATTAAACGCGTGCGCCACGATAGCGACCTAGCCAAATAGTGACTTCGGATATGCCTATACATTTTTGAGGGGGAACAGGCTAAATCGCACTTGGTACGGCGCGTGAGGTACACCTAGCATTACTCACAGGCACACACAGATAAGTACGATTTAAAAGTTCGGCCTTCACCTTTCCATAGTCACTATAGCTTCACCATTCGGGCTTGTAATCAATAATTCAGTTGATAGAACTGAATCAAGTCCTGAATGTTCACGTATCTTGCGCTCAGTCACTAGTAGCTTCACCATTCGGGCTCGCAATAATGCCTACTGACCAAATGAAGAGGAGACAAATGCTATATTGCACTTAGTATGACGTGCAAGATACAACTAGCGTTTACTTACAGACGCATACAAATGAGGGGATAGGCTCAATCGCATTCGGCACGACGTGGAAGATACACATAGCATTACTCACAGACACACTACATCGCACTTAGTGCGACGTGTAGGGTACACCTGGCGCACTATACATACACAGGAGGTGCCAGACTAGATCGCACATTATCTGGCGTGTAAGATGAGCACGATTTTGAAAGTCCGGTATTCATCTTGCCCACATATACCAGTAGCCTTACCCTTTGGGCCGCCAAAATGGGCTCGCGGAACGATGTCATACAACTTTAATGTATGACAAAATCATGATTTACATGGCACCCAGGCCGAGTGCAAGTGTGCACGTTGTAAATCGGACAGGTTGGTGTAACTAATTTTGGAAAAGAATTTCGTGGTTAGTGCTATTGCGTGTGAGGCGCACCGGACGACGATGGGAAGGGCGGTCGCTGAATTGGTGCTAGTATTGTGTGTACATTGTACAACACGATATGCGGCTTTCGCAGATTGAGTGAGCAGGGAGTATAGTGGGTGCGAAGTACATCACGACTCAACAAAGTTAAATTACAGAATCTATTTACTACAGTGCTTAAGACCACCCCTTCAACAAAATGAAACAAATACCATGTTATAGGTGACAGACGGATGCAACAACCGTATGAGCACGATCGCGACTATTTCTCGAAGTAAACTGGAGATGATGTCTTGTAACGAAATTTCGATGTTGTTCGGCGGGCGTATCAGATGTATCATTGAACGTCATGGCTAGGTCGCTCTGCTAGACGCTAGGATCCTACTAACTATAGACAAGGAATTGTGACGCAATAAAGCGGCATAACAATCGGACTGATGACCTTCACGCAAATCAATCACAGATCAAAATAATGCATGTGTTCCACGATAAGTAGTCTCTTTATAAGCCTTTAACAAGTTTTAATCCGGCGCTAAAGTGGATGTGCTATTTCCAACAATGATAGAAGCGTGGCGTCAATCATTGATGGGAACTTTCATCAACATTGGCTGATCACTAGTAAAAGCAGAGTACAAAGTAAGCGGCACGGGTCGGTGACATAAGCCGTTCATAGATCGATATAGAAAACAAGCTTGTGATCACATCTCCTGTGAAGTTGGTCCCGTAAATCGACACTTTCAGGTAAACACGGACATGGCATTCTTCGGTCAAGTTTCAAAGTGCGCGTGCAAATCGAACATGCACCTTCTGGACGAGTCGAGTCTCGGACAAGACTGTTTTTATTACACGAAGGAGTGATGAGTGTAGGCAAAAGTGCTTCGAAATGCGAGGAACACGATCAACCGTCATTCGACATTTTGAACATGATCAACCGTCATCAAATATTTGATACGTGGAAGCTGCTGGGCATACTCATCCTGTTATAGTAAACGTACGATTGGACAAAGTGGTTTGAAGGTACGACATTGCCTGGCGAATAAAAATAATTTTGCTGCTAAAATTGTTAGAAGATTCTGTCTTTGACAGGTCATTAAAGCTCAGGGTGAAGACAGCAAGATCTGTGACAGGTTAAGGGCAACCCCCTCTGATCGGATTACAAGTTGACAGGTGGGACCAGGGCGCGATGTGCTGACGTCATGTGGGACCAGGGATGACATATGGTGATGGGCACGCTGGATGTGCACTATGTGTGATTTGAACAGGTCAAGTTGTAGTGCTGGTCATCAACTGCATGTGGTAAAGCTAAGAACAAAGATATTTAACTCTCTATTTATTCTACTTTTACTTCCTACTTCTACTGCACAAGTGCATCAACATGCAACAGGTTATGAGCCTAACTCTATGTGTTGATGTTGCGTCCAAACCATCTACACCTTACGTAGTGATCGATGGCAAGGTTAACATCATCGATCACTACATGTAAGAAATGTCGGCAGTGCCTGTGGAGGTAATCAAGAAAATGCTGGCCACACTGGTGGGCCTGTCCAAAAGGATGAATCATATGGAGGTTTATCAAAGTGAACAAGGCGGCATTCTATGTACGGACTCGCACAAGTTACGTGCTATAATTAGAAAGGGGAGGTCGGAACAATGTCAACATCAGGGCCCTGGAGAAAACCCTCCCACGGTGTCACCAAACGTGTCGCCAGCGACCTACTTTGGTGCACGGTACCAAAGATAGGCAGGTATTTTGATGAGGCCTCTGCAAGATACGCAGGCGCGGACGTCAGCATCCAAAAGAGACCCGACCCCGGTCCATACGGGACAGGCATACCGAAGCAACACGTCCCGCCGGTATCAACGTGACAAATGCAACAACGGAGAATCGCGTTGCGACCTTTCAATGGGAAGGACTTCTACCACGGTCTTGGTAGCGGTTTATGGAGTGGGTCAACAAATTTGTCGGCCAAGTCGGGCTCGCAGAGCGTGCATGCGGTTTCGTGTGGCAGGAGAAATCAAGGTTGATTCCCAGGCCAAACTCTAGCTGCGAAGGCACAGACGTACTACCGTCGGCAAGTAAAAGCACGGTGGCTCGAAAGCTGAACCTTGGAGCACGCGATGCAAAGGATGTTAACGACTTCACCACAAATATTTTACCGGCACAGAGCATGAAACTGTTTACAGCACCCAAGGCAACTTATAAATTTAAACGGATCATTTTCTATATTTGATAGCCGTCAGCGATGCCTGTAGATATGCAGAAAACCTTGTACTGGACAACATCGTTCATTATGCTAACCCAAACATGCTAACGACGATGTGTCCAGTTTGAGCACTAATCGCGTCGATTACCTGCGGCAAGAATCGGATTCTGCGCAATGTGCCCAATCGACGGAGGTGGACACCCACGCAAGGAATTTTGGGCGCGATGTAGTGAAAACTTTCGAGGCGGTAAATGAAATGAGGGACAAGAAGAAATCGAGACCGATGCAACCGCTAAACGACACACGCACGTGTTCTAAGTGTGGAGAGGTCGGACGCAGTCGGTCGCGGTGCCCGTAGGCAAATAAAACTTTCGGGCTCGATCGTTGTCTTCGCGGTTGACCATGGTGCATGTGATCCGCCAAAGTAATGGATACTCGACAGAGGCTATAGCAGACATTTAGTCAACGACCCTATTCTTCTCACCAATATGACCGCCTGCAGCAGTAAGTGTATGACCGCAACCACCTGAAAGTGCGTTGCAAATCACCTTACAAGTCACTGTGGACATACAGGTCGTTGCACTTGGCGTCGTCAACACAGTGATACTCCCCAATGTTCAGTACGCTGAAGACTCGAGCGCGACATCCTATCCTTTGGATTTTTCAAGGCCCGGGGTTGAGTGCTTGAATATCGAGAATGGAGGCGTGTGTTGTCCTCTGGCGTGGATATTGCGCCCATCATGGACGTGGAAGTTGTAACACCGTTTTAGTTGTTGCTGTGACGAGTCTCATCAAACGTAATTCCAAGCCACTGTAACACTCAACGATTATGGTCATGAGCTCGATTCGCATGATTCGGATGTTTAGCGCGTTACCCTGATTTACCTCCGTCGGCATCCAGGGCACCTTCGTTTCGACACGGCCATGAAAATGGATAAAGACCCAGCATCAGGTATACGACTAACTGATGCGACACGTCAAAGTTTTTAGGCCTGTGCAAAGGGAAAGCACACCAAGAGGGCTCAGTTGAAGAGAGCAACAGGCGCAAATTTGCCAGTCGACGTGATCGGGGGAGTCATCTGCTCGGAACTCAAGGGTCCAATGACCCCACCCCGAGACCATTCGGAAACTCGATATATGGTCAACTTCATCGATCATCGATCAAGCTACTGTCGAGTGTTCTTGGCCAAGTCGAGGATGCAGCAGCATGGAAGTTCGAGTTCTTCATGGCGAGCTTCGAGCGTGAATTCAATTGCAATATTCATGTCTTACGCACCGATTGTGGTGGTGAATGTAAGACACTCGACTCATTTTGCTCAGTGAAAGGCATTTCGCGTCAAGTAAGTGAATCGAGGTACCAAGCGAGCAACGGCAAGGCTGAACGGATGTACCGCACCATCATGAACATGATGTGGAGTGTGTGATCTTGCATCCACTCTACCGCTGTCGTTTTGGGGTATGCCGCAGAGTATGCCGCGTACATCATGAATCGAAATCAGACCATGTACAATCCTGGAAGAGTATCGTCTATAATGGGTTTGATAAAAATATGGAGCCCGAGTTAAAAGACATCGTGATTTCTGTATTAACATGCACTGCGCATAGATACCCAAGAA